GCTATTTCATGCTATGCATGCCTTAGTAATGCACAGGGAGATGTTTATAAATGTATTTGGAGATGTTTATAAATGTATTTGAGCAGCGAGAAAAGCATAAATTGCACTAAGGAAAAATATATAAATGGTAGGAAATCACAAAAAACAGTAGTTCAGCCCAGGCAATTTACTTCTGAAACAAATGGCATAAAACAACAGAGGAAAGGGAATAAAGGCACTCAAGATGAAAATGAGGCATGAAGAATGCCAGTCTTATAGTCCTGAGATGCTCCTGGGTCTTCAAAGACACAGCCGCTCCTGTTGCTGCTTTGAGTGTAGAAATCTACCATTTACGTTCAGCTAATAGATGGGTTGGTACCCCCAATCCCTTCTTCCATGCCTGAGGATGTAAAAATGGATGACTGCTGCCAGAGACATTTCTGTGATTCAGACATTTTTTGAAAATTGGGAAGGGTTTTTTGCGAGGGAAAAATGAAGAAACTGAACATGGGAATTTTCTGATAATTCCTTTTGCAGCTTATGTCACCTGAAATACTTGTTTCCTCAGGCAAGCCCTTCATCCTGCAGCCTCTCATTGTTAAATTCCTCAGTCTTTGTCACAGCAACACCTGACAAACCCTGCCAAATCTCCTCCCTCCCTTCTCCTCTTGAGAGCACCACCTGACCTCTCTGGTGCCCACAGTGCTCCAGTAAGACTATAATTCCTTTTCCAATCTGACCCACCTCACCCATTGTGGAAACACAACTGTCTGTAATAAAACACAGTGCATGGTGCACAGTGATGCTGTACAATGACAGGGACATGAATCAAATGTCTGAGAGATGAATAAAAACAATGTAAATTTAGATAGGAGACTATGGTTATTGAGGGTGGAATTAGATTTGGACACATGATAAGACTCCATCCATCTGTGAAAAATTCTGGAAGACTTTTTAATGAGATTTTTTCAGTTATAAACATTGAGACACCACCAGTCCTGAGGTGGTAAGATTAGAGTTTGATTGTGTGTAGCTATGAGAACAGAAGTGTATATAGAGAACTGACCTGCTGTAGAAAAGCAATCAGGGTCTACATGGGGACTAATTGGCAAATAAAACAGCTATACAAAGTATCCCATGGCAGGAAAAAAAAAAAAAAATAGATACACTTTGTTATAATTTAACAAACACTTGTAGATAAAATTGTAGTTATGGGTGACTTGAGGCATAAAATGCTATAAAAGAAGAAATTAAAGCTCTAATAAATTAATGTTGCTTGAACCAATATGCTGTTAGGCATAATGCATTGCAAAGGACAAAACAATTAAGGAATGGGAAGGGAATTAGTTCTGGGATCTAACATCCAGATACCATGATCTGAAAAATCAAAACCAACTTTGACATTTGACTTTGGGAAAGCAGGTTAGGAAAATGGACTAATTGTACATAAGAAAAGACTTATGAGGGTCAATTTTAGAGCTATACGAGTATGCACCTGTTAAGCCCTCATATGCCTCATAGAAGGTAGTTTATGAGGACTAAGGAGCCTTCATCTCCACTGGGACTGGCAGCTTTGGTCCAGTGGGCAGGTCTGTACAGGTAGGCACTGCTGTCATTTCCATGATGCCAGTGGGCCTTACCCAACCATACCTCAGCTGTGCTGCCCCTGCTTTTCCTGTACATCTGCCTTTTGCTGTGTAATTGTATTTTACGTCCTGCCAAAAGGCAAGGAAATGGGACTGGGCTCAGCACTGTGGCTATGTGTCTGCTGGCTCAGGGCTGGTACATTTAATTGGTGAAATAATAATAGGGTTTTCTTGTCTCTACCTGCCAAAGACCCTTTTTACAGACTATGACCCTAATATTTGAGCCTCAGAGTTATGCACTCCTGGCACTGGTTGTCTGTAGCTGACCCATCTGTTATTTCCATCTGCTCTTCTTTTTCTTTCAAGTCTACAAGTTATGATCTGAAACGTAATTCAGATCCCATTGCACTATTTTTGTCTTTCCTTTATGCAGCCTATTTAGTGTGGAAAACTGAAGGTTTAGTGCTAAGTAGTTGTTAGCTTCTAGGCTAATTAATTTCCCCTAAATGAAAGAAAGAGAATTTTCTTAACTTAAAATACTTGCCTCTCTTTTCTGAACTTCGTCCTCAATGGATTCACTTTATAGATTTCTTTTTTCACTAATTAATTCCATTGCCATTTATTTTCCCTCAAAGAGCCCCGTGGCTGGTTATTACAGAAGCAAGCAGAATGCAATGAAGCACATTTCTAAGGAATTTGGATTTAGTGATTACATAGAAAACAACCTTCACAACTGTCTTTTGAAAGCAATCCCTATTCTGACCACAAAGCCAAGTTTTGCTCAGGTGCATTGCTGTAGTTCCATCTCATATTTTAAACAGGTACCCACAACACCGCTCTTTTGAGGAGAAAAGATGTGATACTTCCTCTTCAAGTGTAACAATTGTCAAATATATGGTAATAGATACAATATTTTCCCCAGGAGTAGTAAAATAGCTGAAGCAAAATGTTTGTTCATGAGCACTCGACCTAGTGACATACTGACAGTATGTGCACTGTTCATATGTGCAACATAAAGAAAAGATTGGACAAACTTTAATGTGCAGACTGCTCAGTATTAAAAAGAAACAAATAGGTAAGTATTGCATAAAACGGGAAATGTGCAATCTAAAGCTTCTGGTCTGGATGCAAATTTCTTGAAGGTCTCCCTACCCATGATCATATGTTCCACAGATGAATTCAGTACCCAACTGAATGCTGAATCAGGCCCAATGAGTTGCTTTTGCAGCATTTTCTCCCATCAGCAACTTCTGTGTTGCATTGGGAGATTTGGCCATGGTTGGGGAAGTCCTGATGACTTTGGTGGAAATTTGCAAGGACCTCATCAGTACAGACCTTACTACTGGAGTAAAGACTTAGTGGAGCAACTTGTCAAAAATGGACATTACTCCCTGGTAAAACTCACCCCCACCTAAGAGCAAGCCATGAGGGATGGGTATGACTTATGTAGGGCGCGTAGCTTGTGCTTCCCACGGCAGCAAGGTGAATTACAACCTGCAAGCAGTGGTGACAGATTTGCCCTCTTTTGTTTGGCTGAAAGTTAGGCATGTAGTGGGAGTGTCTTCCATCAGGGAGAGAGAATTGGGCAGGTAGAGGGTGAATCCCTCCATCCTAAACCATGAATGGTCCCACCAAGGTGTCTGTTTGTTGGAGTAGCCTACCAACAAATGTAACCATGATTAAAACATTGTGCTTGTTGCAAGGTGCTAAATAAAGCCAGCCATTTAATAAAACCAATCCATTCTAGTATAATAAAATACATCAGGTATGGGACATTTTATGAAAATGTTTAATTCAACTGTTTCTTTGGAATGTAGTAGTCATAGTTTGGAAATTTAAGTTACAGTTCAGTTCTATGTGATTTTTTTTTATGCTACTCAGTGTCTGAGAATACAAATGTCATTTAAAGTTAAGGCTTCGCTGTTCATTTTGAAACAACAATTTACAAGTGTCATATTGTCATAGAAAATAAAAATTTCTGTAAAAAAAATTTGCACAAAGTTTTATGATGGTACAAAACATGAAGCAATAATATACCAGTAAAATGAAATCATTTTACTACAGAAGATTTTTATAGTTTTTCAATAAAGAAAAAAATATGTTATTTTACACTTTAAAAATTATGAAACAATCTAAAACAATATAAACGGAACATTTTGTAACACTGCCTTTACAAATTAATAACTTTATAAACATATATTTTTTTTAAATATATTTATCAGTGCAAGATACTTTTCAATGTAAAGTTGCAGTATCATTTTTCCTTTATTGAAGGGCAACTTTCATTCTACTACCTTCAGAGAAATCACATCTTCAGTGCTAGATCCTCATTATCATAGTAAGGTCTGAAGACCACAAAGGAGATACATTTCTTTTTATGTTCACTATTCTCAGTATGTTAAAAGAAGAAAAAAACCACCAACCACCAGCTTTACTGTTCAAATAGATCAAGACCAAGAGCTTTTCCAGAATCTATTGAAATCCATGGGAATATTTCAAAAGGTTTTGGGCTTGGGCTCCCCAATGGGATTTTCTCTTCAAGGCAACATATGCATGTAACTCTCAGTCAGGTTAGTGGACTAGAAGTTTTTTCAGCTAAGGAGAACAGACCCTAACACCTGAATCACACGGCGGTAGTGTGCTGAAAATAGTTTTGAAAAATCCATTTTTTCTTTGGGTTAATTAACTAGCTGCTGCGATGTTATTATGGTCAAATTACACTGTTGGATACAAATGAAAATTCTGCCTCTGCCAAAGTGAGTTTGTCACATGGGACATTTCATGGAGTAACTTTTAGGCCTATCTTTCAGGCCTTAGGTGCTCTGTCTCACCTTCTGGAGGACCCCGGGAGAAGGAGCCTGGAGAGGTAACCCTTCCAATTTAGGCATCTAAGTGGGTGTTTGAATATTCACTATAGTCTCTGCCTTTAGGACTCCTTTGCAGTAGCAACTGTCCACTGTTTTTCTGTTTTATGGTTCACATTGGTGAAATGATATGCTTCAAAACATTTAATTGATAAATAGGGGTGGATTCTGTTGCTCTAGTAATTCAAGGCTGAATTAGCCCTTCTTTAGTCCTAATCCTGGGCTGAAGGATACTTCATTGCTCTACTACAAAAGCAGTTTTGGAAAAGACTAACTCAGAAAGTCACAGTTACTTCCCTGACTCTGCTCGGGGAATTCAGTGAGGAAAAACATGAGTTCAGCACTTTGCAGGACATTTCTTTCCCCATGTTTGCACTGATTTTACCTGCTGGTTGGTGGACACCCAGGGGAAGGTCAAAGCTGCCTTCTTCCACTGCCTCCCCAGCTATGGCTGTGCTGTGTGCGGGTCACCGCAGAGAACCAGGGGCTCCCCTCACACCTGCAGGAGGGGAATAATCCCTCTGGTCTCTCACCTCCTCCTATGGACCCCTGAGGGCAACAGAATCTTGTTTCTTTTTACCCTGTTGAACCAGCTGCATAGGCTGTTGAATATTATTTGTCCAATAATATTTGTCCTAAAATATTAAAAAATTGCCACATAATTGTCAAACACATTTTTCTGACAGCTTACACTACTCAGCTGACTGAATCTGTCACTATTGGCACTTCTGGTCAAACAGAAACCTCCTGGTATGAAATGCCAATTGGATATAACAGGATGGCAAGAACATACCCTACATACACTGTGGGATTTTATTCTGCCATCAGTACCCATGCGTAAGCCCAATTAGCATTGATTAGCATGCAAATACACGTTTACTGAGAGAACAGAACTCTGGGTTCAGGTAGGGGCAGGAGGAGGAAAGTTTCTCATTTTAAAGGCAATCTTTTCACTAAGCGAATAATTTTCCCTAGTGTAATTAACAGGCAAGCTGTTCAGGATAAAAGACATGTTTCATGACTTCAGGAAAAAAGATACTGTCACTTTATGCTGTTAAGAAGAAACCCAAAGTTCAACTTTGGAGGGTAAAGTTAAGAATTTTCCCTTATTTTTTAACACAAACTCTAATAAAATCCTTTGCCATTACCAGCAAGTTAAAGCTGCAGTTTTCTTTCCTTGGCAATGGCAAATGCTTATGCAATCTACTCAGAGAGAGAAAGAGAGAGAGGAAGAGAAGAGAAGAGAAAGGGAGAGAGATTTTACATTTGAAAATACATTCTATATGAAAGAACAATAAAAGGGGATATTGCAGCTTTATACAAAAGGGTCAAGAGACATGAAGTTGAAATACAGAAAGCAGAACAATCGAGCCAGGTTGTCAAATCTGATTAGCCCTTGCCTTGCTGAGGCTACTTTCTCACACTAAAATATACTTTTCTTTTAGTCAGTGCGCCATCAGAGTATGATTAAAGACAAGGGCATAACTGCAGAGAAGCAGAGCTGTAGTTAATGTTAACACAATGAGAAGCAGTACAAACAAAAAGGCACTTGAGAGGACATACACTAGCCAGTGCCAAGGACTTTTTTGTTTAGTTTTTAGGCAGTACACTCGGTTACCAGTTGTGTCTGATGATGGCACATACTCTTTTATGGAGTTCACAAGCACAAAATTTAGTACAACACTGAAAAACATCAATAAAATTTGACTGTATTGCTTCGTAAACAGAGCTGACACACTATATCAGTACTGATGCAGCAGTACTTTCAAAAACATCCTAACCCTTCTTTGCCTATGCACAACACGAGCAATTATACACAAATACAGGTGCAGGAGTCCACTAAATTGCTGTTACTCCAATATTTTCTGGGCACTGAGCTACAAACAGCATGTCCATCCAAAGGACCCCACTGAATACATTTTGTGACAGCATCTTGGATTTTGCACAGTAAAAACAAAATTATCCATTAACGGAAAACAAAAGAGAGGGAGAAAAAGAAAGACAAAATGAACTATAAGTCAATCATACTTGGTCTCAACACCAGCATTTGATTATTTCAAATAAAACCAACAGAAAAAGCAGACTGTACATGATTCAGATTGTTAACACAGATAGTTGTCCATGTTTATCGGTTACACACTCATTGAAGCTCCTGAGAAAAGCTTGGCTCAGTGTCATCAATGCACTTTTCAGCCTGTACAGTAAAAGAAGATCAACAGTTCCCCAGCACGACCGAGCTATGTCCTTCCATCCCGATTCTCTGAAACTTCTCCAGTCGCTTTATACCTTCATGCTTCCGAGTATGAATTCTGTGTGTTTAGTTTATCTTTTTTCAGTTTTACACCATCGACCAGTTCAAAATTGTAATTCTCCAGTGCAGACAAGTTCCTCTCTGACATCCCATTGTGCCAACAGGCACAGTACAGGACAACTCCACAGATGGCTCCTAAAAGCACCCCGAGTGCACTCATGGCTATAATGGTAATAAGGATTGGATCTAGGGTCTTCAGGACGTTGCCTGGTTTCCTGGAGATATCATCATAGTCCTCGCCTGTATGGTATGGAGGCGTAAACCCTGAAATGGAGTAAACAATTGCAAAATTCTCAGAACTGATTCTAGGTAGAACTTGGTTTGATGAGTGGGAAATTTGGAAAAAGGACATTGAGTTTCTGACATAAATTGCTATATAATTTGAAAACCTAGCTTTTTGGAGGCAGTCGTAAATAGCTGAAAACTATAACGCAGCCCAAATAGTCGGTGATTTTTTTCATACTGTTCTCCAATCCCTGAATCTGCTGCATGTTAGTAGGGGTCTGATTCTGCCTTGGATTAAGTGGGAGTCTTGGGAATGAATAACTAGACCTTTTGATTGTGTTTTGCCAGTTTGCAGTATTTAGCTCAAAAATGTTAATTAAATCTTGTTCAGCTCAGTGTTAATGTTTATAGCCTTAGGCATTGGTTGGGAATCTCCAGCCATTTTGAGTCCATCTCCACCGACTTCAGGATTGGACCTTGAAATGGAAATAGTGACAGAACTGACACAGAAGAGCACTCTGCCCCCTTCTGTAAAATATTCACTGTGTGTCATAATGTTTTCCCTCAACACTTTCAGTTTATGAAAGAGCTCCAATAAGCTTGCAAGCCCTGCTAATTGTTGCAGGAAAAGCCAAAAAGTCTTTTTGAACAAACCCTGCTTTCACTGAAATCAATGAAAGCAATCCTGTTGACTGTAACAGAAAAAAAATTAAGCTCATTGCCTGAAAAATACAAGTATATTTTATTATTGGGACAATATGACAATTATGATCCATTTAATGATCCATTTACACCTATCATCATGGAAAATGATAATGCTGTGGTAGACTGGTCATAAAATGACATTTTCAGCCAGGTCTGAGAAACAATTAGCCTGAAGAGTTTTGAGCCTAATTATCTAGACACTGTGTGAGTCATAAATTGTAAGATATAATGACAGCTGTTTCTTCAGCTGTGGACAAGCCTTCTAGATAAAAAAAATATTAAGGAGCTATAATGTGCATGCATATATATGTATACAATGTAGCAAATATTGTATATAAAGTTTGAAAGGTTTGAGACAGGTATAAAAAATACAAAGTCCATAAGATTATATGACATAGAAGAACGAAAAATATTATATCCTTCAAATAAATGTAAGCTTTCTTAGCATCTGATCTAGATAAATCAAAAACCTTAATACAATATGCAGTTAGAGAACTAATCTATAAATAAATAAATAGAATACACAAATTCACATGAAAACACACTTTAAAATTCATTCCCTTTTAACAATAACAGAATTTTTACCTGTTTGATTACTTTCTGGGTCTTCTTCTTCATCTATTTCATTCTCCACATCAGTTGATTCTAATGAAGCAAAGAGAATTGACATTGATTATTAAGGTTACAAACACTGATTGACTATCATGCTGGCAATAATGGTATAGCAGATTTTTCTGTGTCAGAGCATCATTATGTCAGCTTGACAGAACTGTTCATTATGATGGGCTCTGAAAACTAATGGAGAAAAAAGAAAGACTTAAAAACTCCTCTCTGCCCAGTCTTGGCACAGTTTTAGTTATCAGCAGGGGTTTTCCATGTCTGGGAAAGAGAAGTCAGTGTGATGAATTAGTATCTCATTCATTGTATTTACAATTTTGGAGCCCAGTTCCATAACACTTCATCAGCATAGGCACAGTTAATCACGAGAATAGTTTCACTGACTGCAGCAAGACCACTTGTGTTTGGGCTTCAGACTAAGCTTTTGGCTTTAGCTCCCACAGGCCAAAATCTTTGCTTAGCATTTGGTTTGAACAACCAAAACATGTAGAGGTAGGAAAGAAGTTACTTCCCTCTCTCATTTGGAGTCAGATAAATACCATCACTGTGGTCCCAGCACCCTTCCTGGCACCTAAGGACACTGCAGGAGGACTAAGCAGTGCGTCCTGCTCTCTTTCCTGGCAATTGCCACTCTGGTGGCATATGATGAACCCCAGGAGATGGACTGTGTGATAAAAAGAGATTGTACAGTTTTCTCATCCTGCAGTGAAGTTACCATGTAGCTGAAGTCTGTCATGTTACTCTCAAAAGGCTATTAGCTACAAAAGGTGAGGAACACCCTCTATTATTGCTCTCAGTTGTGTTGCTAACTGGCATGGCATAAGTTTATACTTCTGATGCTGAGGGTTCTCAGTTCTATTCCGTCTCCTACATAAAAGTCATTGCTTCATCTTCATCATGAAGGGCAGGGTTCTGTTGCTTGTGTTTATCTGGGGTTGCTGCTGCCAAATTACTTGTAGTATGCAATGCACATATGATCAGCAGTGACTGGAATAACTCAAGACTGGCCAGAAATAAAAGGACTCAAATAGCAGCTCAGGAACAGCCTGGCTCAGATGTGGAAAGGGCCATGTTCTGACATTACTTCATGTCCCACATGTCTGGGTGCTGGTGACTATAGCAAACAAGTCACAGCAAACTCAGAATTACAGAACAGCCGAGGATAGAGCAGGGGCTATTTCACACTATCTGTGTATCCTGTAAGGGTTTGATATGGTTCTTTAAAAATCCTCGGGTAGAATTAAAGTAAGCTTGGTGGTAAGTGATCTAGAAAGGGTGAAGAAGTAAAATTGGATATTGAGCATTAGTTAAATGAGGGAAGAACATTAGGAAAAGCAGAGAAATTTAATGAGGACAGCAATATGAAATACAGGGAGAGATGTGAGGATGTGAACATGCTGTGACCCATGTCAGTAGGATGCCAGTTCTGATCCAAAAGACTGTAGTTGCTGTGGTACTGAGGTGATACCAGTGGCACTTACTATGAATAAAGCTGTGGGCCAGATCAGGATAGTTTCAGTGCAAAACTTCCTACAGAGTCAATAATTATCTATCCCATTCTTACAGAAAAAAACAGCTATCAAAACAAAATAAATAATGTTTTGGATGAGATTTCTGTATGTTCTTGCTACTCGTACTTACTTCGGCAATCCTCTTGTGCTACGTGATTGTCAATTTTAATATCATCCACAGCAATTCCTCCAGTTCCTTTTCCAATTTCTCCCTCAATAACCACCTGGCAAAATAAGATAATGTTCACATTGTTTTTCTGTTAACACACAATTGCAGCATTCAGGATATCTTAATTAGTTGTTAGCACACATCTTCACTTGTCGTGATGCCACATCTACATGTACTTTGATTGTGGCCTGCCAATCTTCACTGTATGCGTTTATGAACTTAAAAATTCAAATGTGAATTTATAGAATGTCATAACTTCATTAAAGTCTTTTACACCAGCAGCAAAACTCTGGCAAGGATGCAGTTTTGGGACATGAGAAGTGATTTCTAAACTATTTATTTGGCCTTCAATAACAAATTGCTTGTATCACTGTCATCTGAGATACCATGAAATATGCCACTATTATTACTGTCACAGCAACAGCACCTCATCTGAGTTATAATACTGTCTACATAAATCCTTCAGTGACATTTTCTGCTACAGTGTATAAAACATGACCGGCAACGTCTTATTGGCCTCAGCTCTGTTAAGTTCAGCGAGAAGCGGCCAAGCTCACCTGATAGTGTTTCACAGACTTGTGAAGAAGAACGCGTCCTTCCTTCCAGCAGTTTGCCTGGTGCCCGCTCAGGGTCCACAGCACCTGATCGTATTCGTCCGGCTTCTGGTACCGCAGTTTGATCTTCAGGGTGCCAACGTGTGCGCCGGACATATGGTACCAGAAAGTCATGCAGTGGGCAGAGTTCTGCGAGTAAATCATGGGGCTCAGCAGTCGGGCGACTTTGCCTTTCTGGCTTTCGTCAGCTTGCGAGTAAATGAAATTGCCATCTCCTACTGTGACAGAAGGACTGCATTAGGAATAGCCACCAGCTTTCATACTCTTGTTTACCTAAGAAGCCCCAACCACCACCACCCCCATTTTGCCTTCTTCCCATTCTGATGGGTCAAGCCTCACAACAAAGAGAGTCAGAGGAGACTGGTTCAGGAGCTCTAGGAAAGCTGATGTGCTCTAAGGAAAGTTTATTTCTTCTGGCAGTCTCCTTTGCTGTTCACTGGGATGCTTTGTGCTGAGAGTGAACTGTAATGAGATGTTTGCTACATGGCACACACAAGGCATTTTCTTTCACTCAGGGAAGGAGGCAAAAGCATGTTTGGTGTGACAGTGTGTGCTCCGTTAGTCAGCAGGTGACTCCTGAAGAGAGCCATTTTTTTTTACAGAAATCCCTTGGGGCCTACTCTACACTAATTGTGCAAAGAGCTATTTTTAGTCTCCGTTTAAAGTGATCTGTGCTTGAGAAGGCAAGATTAGAATGGGAAGAACACCGGAGGATAAACTAGCTTTCAACAGCCATGGTCAGAGATCAGGAACTACTGAGAGCTAAACAGTGCTCCTAAATAAAGTCTGAGCATTGTCACAAATGGTGCCAGAGTTATTCCCTTGACTTTGGCAATAATATGTTGGGCTCTGTCTGTTTGTGAGCCACTTCCTGAAAGAGTAAGATTATGACTGGTATTTGGAAGAGCATAATAGATTTACACACGTTGAAATCTGAATACCTAGTACCCTTACCTTGGAAAATTACTTGCTTAATCACACTGGGAGAGAAACATGTGGGCGTGTGATTAGTTTGGTAACAGAAAATTGCTAAGTAAGATACTGACTACAGAGAAGTGCTTCTGATCTACACCAGCCAGACATCCATTCCAGTCAGCTTTTGAACAGCTTCTTTGCAGAGAATTATGGTGGAAAAATACAAAGTTCATCCTGGTGTGTGTAAGAATAGATTGCATGTGTAATGCACTCACACAAAAGGATGGAGACAGCATTTATTGGCATTGGTATAAAGTTATTTAGAAAGTAGGAGGAAGAAAAGTAATAATAAGAAATACTACTTCTCAAATGCTGAAATAAGTATATATATGTCTGTTTATACCAATGCTTAAACAAAATAAAAGTAAAAAAGAGGCAAAATAAGATGTTTTGGAAGGGTGATGTTTTATCAGATCTGGTCTGATATTGGTCTTTGCTTATACATGATATTCTTGAATTTCATTTGAAATAATGTATAACGGAGACTTGCTGGGTTGTAATGATATAGTCCTGCACCAGTGAAGAAGGGAAGACCAGCATTGCCACTCTGGGAAGTATTAGAAGGACAGGGTAGTAAAAGGTGAACCAGGAACAAAGAGGAGCGGGCTAAACCCAGTGGTTGGAAGGAGTGGGCCTAATAAATTAGAAAGAGAAATATTTCTTCTAACAGGAGACAAGGATGTTTTCTTTTATTTGGATTTTTCTGTGGGCAGTCAGAGGTATCCTGGCCAATATGCATGTGGAAGTATCTGGTCTTTGCAAGAATTTTATAAGGGAAGATGATATTAAATTGCCAAAAAAATTTAGGCTTTTTTTTTTTTTTTCCTTTTTTCTATCTTACTGCAGTAACATCTTGTCCAGCTTCTTCAGCAGCAGTGCTTGTGCCTGTATGTTCTTTCCACTTTTGCTTCTGTGCAGAGGGCAGCACAACATGTGCAAATCTCATCAAAGAATGGTGACAGGGAAATCCAAAGGGAGGAAAAAAGAAAAATAATCACAGCATTAGGATGGCTGTCTCAGTTGGAAGACTTAACTCTGGCCAGATTTAATCATAACATGTATAATTTCAAGTGACATACAGCACATCCTGCTGTCCTAAAGCAATTGCTGTTGAAGATCACTTCTGTGGAGTTTCCTCAGCTTTATACAAATGCAGCTGAGAGCAAGATATGCCTGGGAATTGCTCATTGCAGTTCTCCCAAAATAGAGGGTGGCCTTGATGTGTAGTGGTGACACTGAGGGGCTTTTTTGGGATGGCAGTGCCATTCAGACTGCTTGTGGTCTGCGTTCACACCCACCACACTCATTCTGTAGCTGCTGGCAGGCGAATGGCAAACCTGGCGGGTGAAGGTGCCCTTAGAGTTGAAGGAAAATTTTGGAAAATATTGAAAGTTAGTGCAGTAAGGAGCAAAAGGGGCTGTCTCTAAGACTTACTGAAGCTACAGCTAATGGAACAAATAAGTCTTCTGCACTAGCAGGGCCCAGCAGAAACAACAAAATCTCATTTGAAGAATATAATTTCTTCATCTCTTGATTGAAGACAGGTTCAGTATCTCTGTAATCCTTGGTGCCAAAGTGCAGATAGCTCTCATTTCCAGAATATTATTGCAGTGCTGGGTCAGGAACTCTGTCTTCATTGTCTTAATTAGAGCTTTACTTATGCATGCCTTTTAGATTTTGTCAGTCTCTGGCTAACATAGCTTTTAACCTCCTTTCAATGTCAGATCCTACTGAGCCATTTCACTTTACATCAATTTTTCCACCATTACAGCCTTCACTTCAGCTAACTGCATTTAGTTAATTTGATGCCATTTATTTGTACAATGCCATTTATAGTCAAAGTATTATAAGTTTTTTTTTCCCTGAAACTACTGTACTTGTCTTAAGATTCAATTGAAAGTGTCTCAGAATGTAAAAAGTCCAATTTTGTCTAATTTCCTTGTCATTCTCATTAGGCAAAGGGGCTGCAGAAGTGGGAAGGGGGATTCATCTCAACACATTTGATTAATCTGCACGTATGCAAGAGAGAACACTAAAGCTAGAGGCTGTGCAGGTCACGCAGCGCTCTCCCTTTGCCACTAGCCAGCAGCATATTTATTGCCTAATTATGCAGAGCCATGACTTAGATACTACAAAACCGAACAATCAATTTCCCAGGGTGATATTTCTGGAAAAGCTGTGTGTGAGCGAAGGGATGGCTATAATCTCCGACTCCTGCTGGAGAGGAGGAGGCATGGAAATACATCCATCTGGGAGGTTTCACTTACAACGCCTTTCTGTGGTGGGCAGCCCCTCTAACTACAAATAGGAACAATGTGAGGTTTGTTTATGACTGTATCACTTGGTGAGTGATATTTGCAGAATATTTGGTCATTCAGGTTTTTTTCTACCCTAGATGGTCATTATCCAAAAGCAAGTCAGGAGAAGGGAATATCTTTAATTCCTGACAATAAATGTTCTTTATTCCCCAACAGAAAGGACAATTATGGTCAGTTGTGACTACATACAATGGGTTAGGTTGCCTAGAGAATCATCTTTGAGACTCTACATATTTTAGGTATAACTCATTCTCCTCTGGTTTTGGAAGGCATGTTGGTATTAAGCAGAACAACCTCTTCCCATGTAAAACAGCTAAATCATGAACTCATGATTACCTGTGTGATCTTGAATCGGCCCAGTTTTGCTGGTCAGGATTGCCCACTTTAAATCCACCTGGTTGTCGTGCTCCCAGTGGCACAAAGTCTTTTGGGATCCCCAACCAAAGGCACAGTTGAAGTTGTATAGTGGCAGCTCTGCAAGGAAAGAGGGAAAAGGAGGGACAAAATGTGATTATTAATTGCACAATTCAGATTTTGTACTTCAAAACCAAATGCATGCATTTGACTATTAACAGAGCTGTTCCTACTTGAAACTCTGAGAAGCTATAGCAAGAGCAGCCCTGCTGGGAAACAGATGAAGAATGACTATTTCTAGTAAATGACGTGGTTGTTTCTTGTCTCTTTATGACCCATATTTTAGGATTTTTTTTGTGGTTTTTTTGTGGCAAATCTTCTGATTTGCCCACATTAGCTTGTAACTGTACTGTAACATATATGACTCAAAAAGAAAGCTCTGGCTTATTAGATATATTTGCTGGTTGATAATATCTATTTGTACCATAATTGTGCAACATTTTGCAACACGTCACAGGAAGATTTGGACAAAAATAAGAAAGGGCAGAAACAGTAATGGAATGTCCTTGGCAGGAGAGGATTTCTGGTGAAATGTATAGTATGTGGCTTCAGTAAGGAACTTATTTCAGCATCTTCCAGACAGTTAAGCAGGCCCACAAGATGGCAGCATTGAAATGGACAAATTGAGATGGGAAAGGGACAAATGTGGCTGATTGCCAAATGAACTCAAAATAAGCTTCAAAACAAGCTCCATGTAAAACAAGGGAAGTCTGGTATTATGGTCAGGATGAGATCATATCTTGTTTTCAGCTTCTCTTTAATTCTGCCCAAAGGTTTAATACATAGTAGCTTATTTTCTTCAATAGAACTTGGTACTTGAATGGAAAGATTATAAAAAGATAGCATATAAATACCTTGCATTTCTTATTTTCAGAAGTGGTTTGAAATCTTTTGGGCTTTTGGTTCTTACCCCATTGGTATGAACCTTTACCTCACCTTGAGCAATGAAAACTCCCAGTAGAGCAATACCCTTCCCACACCAATGTGACCAAATCCTGAAGTCTTTTCTCAGGCATGACTCATGCTTTATTAAAGGAATAGCTTAGGTTTACTTTAATGAGATGCTTTGTGCAAGTATGAACTAAGAACAAAGGACTCCGTGCTCCCATCAATATCAGCTCTACGGGAAGAATTGTGTTCTTTTGCTTTCTTGGCCATTATAAAAAAAAAAAAAAGTCAGGAAAGATAATGCAGCCCCTAGAATGCGTTTTGCTTATTGTGGGAAAATATGGAGAAATATGGGAAGTGTGTTGGGACCTGTGGCTGGCCAGACCTTTGAGATGGATCTCTTCTAGTCTGAAGAGGCAACAACCTCCTCCACATAGTGAGCTGCCCAGGGAAGACTGCAAAAGCTTTTGAACACACAACCCAGATTTTAATGGAAAGTAAACTAGAATAATCATTTTATCAACACAGAGAAAGCCTCAGGTGAGTAGGTTGAGACAGAACGGATGCAAAAAGGGTTCATGTATCATTCTCTCCTTGCCTGCTGTGTCCTTGTTTGGTAGGTCCTTGCTCCCAGACACAGTTTTAACTCAACTCACTGGATTCCTGCATTGCAGCCACTGTGCCCTCTCCACTCTGGCCCCTAGAAAATGTCTTTCTGTCAGCAGAGAGGTCCATGCGCACGGCAGCTCCTGCCCCTCTCCTCCCCCTGTCAGTACCTTGGCTGTGCTGCGGCATCTCTCTGCACTGAGCCCTCATTCTTCGCTCCTTCCTTTCATCTGCCCCATCCCGCCCGCCTCCCCCTCCCTCCCGCTGGCCTCCAGAGGGGTCTACTCCACATTGTCACGAATACGGCATCCTAGCTGGAAACAAATGAATTAAACAGATAATGTCTGGCACAGGAATTCAATGTGAGGAAAACATGTTTCCTGGAGGACCCTAGCCCTTTCTAGGAAAGGGGCAGATCATGGTGAATAATCTCTCTTTGGGCTCAAAATGTTGAAGAAGCAGAACTCAGCCTGTGCACACATGAGTGCAGAAAGGCAATCCATTATGTTTCTTTCTTCAGTATATGTTTTTTTCTTCCTAGACAACGGGGCCATGATCAAAGACATCTTGCCCAAAAAGGGACATCTGAAAATCAAGGGGAGTTTTTAAAGAAACGGAGTGACATTTAAATGAATTAAAGGGTTTTAAGTTTGTGAAAAATAGCCTTTCATTGTCAAGGAGGCCTAGGGAGAGCTATATTGCATGGCTTTGACATCAGAGCCATGAAACAGAACTTTAGAAAAGGTCTTAGAAAACGTAAAACAAAATTAATCTTATTAATCCCAAAGGATTATATCATGCAAAGCTAGTGATAGCCTGTGTGGTATTCAAACCACAAGAAAGGAGAACAGTGGTAGATAGATCACATCAATCTGAAGATATCACACAGCATAAATGAGCACATAGCACAAAGAGATTGAAAGGACTGGTATTGTTCAACCCTGAATAAAAATAAATAGCAGAAGACACAGGAGAAGTATGTAAATGGGTGAAGAATCCAGAGAAGGAAGATTACAATATTCTGTTTTCTCCATTTCATAGCCTGAGAACTGTGAGGTATCCAGTGAAGATCAATGTGGATGAAAGGAAAAAATTTCTCATATGATGTGAGTGATACTTGCTTCCCTCGAATGCTGCTAAGGCTGAACACAATTCAAAGAGAACTGGACAGTGAAACAGATAAGGAAAATATCCAGAATTTAATTGTTAATTCTGAAGTGTAGGGAGTGACAAAAGCCTTTTGCTTCATGGTCTGAAGCCAGCTCTGAACATTGGGATTAGAAGGAGAGTTTCAAAGCAGAGCTAAATTTCACAGCACCATCTAATAAAGAATTTCTTACACTTTAATTTGAAATATATAGTCCAGGAAATTGGCAAAGAGCCTAAGTCCGATATGCTTTGGCCATGCCTGTGTTCCTTGGCTTTGGTCTCACAGACAGCATGGTGTAGCATAAAAATGAACTACTTTTCCATGCAGAAGTTAATGAGAATCCCCTGAAATTGAGCAGGGTTTGACCAGTAACCTGCTCTCAGTTAGCAATTTCTTGCTAGGTTCCTACTGTTTTCTTAAAAGTGATTGTGTTAATATATTCCTTAGACAATCACAGCAACAGGATTGAAGGTCAAAGGCAAGGCATTTCAGAGTGCTCTTATTTTATGGGCTCCTTAAACATGCCATCTCTTATTGTCTATTCTTATGTCTCTTCCAATGCTTCTCCCAGGGACCCATAAAAAGGAAAAACAGACCTGCTAGCCAATTAATAATAGACACTTGTAGCATCAGGATAGGTTCGTTAGTCGTACGGACAATGGATCTGCCCCAGCAAAAGACAGAATAGTTCAACACTTCTATTAAGGGTCCCAGGGGGCTGATACAGTAGCTCACAGTAAGCTACAGGCAATCTGTCCTCTTCTTTGTCCTTGAACTATAGCTTGGCAGCTCTGGTAGAAGGAAGGAAAGAAGGAATGAGTAGCATTTGGTGGGCTCCCTCTGCAGCACTGGCCCGTTTTCCTGCTAGGATGGTTTTCCTGCCAATAGGTGATTGATCTCCTGCTTTGTGCGTATTGAGAGGATGAAGAAAACCAGCTATTATGTAACCAAATAGCAGCAGTTCAGATGAGAATCTGAGGGAGGTGTGACGAAATCCCATATGCCTTTTTCAAAATGTAGGGTATGTGATACTGAATTAAAACAGATTTATCCTCTCAAAGAATAACCAACAGCTGTACTTCTTGACCACATCTTGCTCACAGCTGGAACCATTACTGCACACGAACAACAAAGTCATTTGAAAATCTAGTTGAGTGAGTTTCTTGCAAGTCCATTAATCTTTCGTGGCCCACAGACTTTGACATATTTTTATAACTCCTCCAACAAGAAGCAAGAAGGAGCATGATGGCATTAAAGATGCTATGAAAATTCTCTATAGGATGCTCTTGCCAAAGGGTAAATCAACATTAAAATGGGAAATTACAAACATAATTTGGACCACTTCAAAGTAGTATATTGGGTCTGATTCATATTTGCATTTCACCTTTTTATATCACTTATGCTGGTAGCACAGGATTACCTTAAATGATAGTAAATGATAATTTAACTGCTTTAATATCCCTTTATTGATGCAAAGTTGTCCCACCGTAAATGAGAATCAGACCTATTCTACCTTTAAACAATTTCTTAGCATAGATTTTAACCTCAGGATTTCTTAGTAGTATTTTTCTGAAATAGCTATTACATGTGTGAAAACCAAGATACTTTACTTCTTGAACAGTTTGCTTTACAAAGAACTGAGCGTGCATGCTGAGAGCACATAATGTAAATGAACAGCTTGCTCTGTATGTAAATAGCTAAGAGTCAAGCATTTCAAATAGTCCTTTGGAATTGAAAAAGATGTGTTCAAAAAGACTAGATGTTGGTGAGTGTTAGGACTGAGGCCTGAAAGGTATTTACCTTGACAGACAAGTTGTTAAAGGCATCTTTTTGTTTGAGGAGGAAAGTAGATTCTCTCTTAAAAAAAAAATCCAAACCTTTAAACATTTTTAGCAGTTTGAAATAATGATTCTTTTTTATTTTCTTACAATTCAGTCCCCTTGAAATGAACTGTAAAAGTGTCCTTGATGGAAAGCTTGTTCATACATGGAGGCTTTCCAGCTATTTGCTCTTAACTGTTTCCATAGCGTATGAAAGCTGGTTGGAATAGGATAATCTCAGGCTTTGACACACAAGCATGTTAGTCTGGGATAACAAGATCAGGGGTGTTTGCAGGCTTCAAGGCAGGCAGGAGGACAGCAATACATGGCGTTAGCACCTATTGCAGAATTACCTGTGCCACGGCAGGTGCTGCTACTGAGAGAGCTGGTAAATCTCTGTCCTGAATCACCGTGGCACAAGCTGCTGTGGCCAGCACTGGCACGGTGTGGCTCGTGCCATGTTATCCGCTGGAGCCCGCATCCTGCAACTGATCTGGAATAGCTCTTCGGCTTGGAGTTCACCATTTACCTCAAGGTGTATTAGCATCTTAAGGTAAACCAGCCCTTAGAGGGAATTAAGGCTGAAGGTGAAGGCTCACTCCTTGGTGTGTTAAATTCATACCTTGTTCAGCTTGAGAATAACTGAAAGAGCTGGAGTGCACTGATCCGCAGCCAGCTGAGGGCTGGGGTGGGGCCTGAGCAGCTCTGTAACTTCAAGGCCAGTTTAAACTACGTTATTCATGGCTGCTGGAGCAGACTTGCTCCCTGCTGCATGGCCTCTTGCTCTGATGTGCTTCACCGTGCCAGCTAGGTCCACCCGTGCCCCTTCAGCTGAAGGAAATGCTTACACCACCTTCATGCCAGGAGGGGTTCCCCCATGTTGAGGGAAATTTCTGTCTGCCCCTTTTTGGGATTTTTCTGGCTGGTTTTCAGTGAGGGATTATGAAGCAGCTGGAAACCTTTATGTCTTAAACTGGAGATTCTGGAAACCTTATTCTTATTTATTAGCATCCAACTGATCTCTATCTATGATCTTTGTAATGTGGTGCCATGTGGGAGCCTGGAGTTTGGGATGTGAACTTGTCTCTTATTCCCCGGAAGGAAACAGTTCCTACCAGCACAATGCAGGGAAGTAGCATAGGCATACTCTGAACGGAACCTCAGAAACTCCTCTAGTAGAGAAAAAACTTGGCTCATCATGGAGTAAGCAAAGGTGGTGCAGGAGGGAAGTAAGGGGAGAAAATGAGGATATCTTAATCTCTGGCAGAAATAGTCAGTCTATTACTGGAGAGTCCCACCCAAGCCAAAGGGATTAAACACAACCTGCACAACTGGCACTGGGGAGGAGGGAGGAAAACCGCATTGTATGGAGGCACTTTATGAATTTGCAATTTGTTTAAATACAAGAAGATAGTTAAAAAAAACTTTAAAAATCCTTCATTTCAGCAAAATAGAAAGCTAAAAGATCATTTCAGACATAAAAATTAAAATGTTTTACTCTAAAACCCCTGCACAGCATCCTTTCTTCCTTTGCATCCCCAACCCCTTTCCGAACTGTGGGATCACCAGCAGCCCTCCAGCCCTTTAGCAACGCTGGCTGTGGCAGAGCGGCATGGAGGGGTGTCCCACGAAGGTGGGCTGGCCTGCTGTCATGTTTCTCATTGCTCCGGTACTCCACAATCTCCCTCTGCTCATAAAGCAGGGCAGAGCTAGAAATAGTGCATGCTGACTAAGCCAACTGCTTGACCCTGGAGACAAATTTTGAAGGGAGTAAAAGCACTCGCCTCTGCAATATCAGAACACAGAGGCCAAGAGTGGGAACAGCGTCTGAGATAAGTTGGCTCTATCTCTTAATCAGGTTGACACCGTCAGTGTCCTTTAGGAAACTTTTGCATTATGAGTCCCTTTTTTTTACTTGAAGCAAAAGCGGATTGTGTCACATGGTTGAGGAAACAATGATAAACACTTACCCACCCTGTTAATAAATCACTTGCAAGACTGTGCCTGACTGTACTTTAATGGAGGAAATGGGAGTAACTGAAAACTGACCTCTTTACCGCTCCACAATTATTAATGCAAAGCATTTTAAACTGGTGCTCATAGTTTTTGGAGTTTGGGTTTTCTGCCCAGGTCTGTCCTCTCCCCCACTCCCAGTAAATTGTACAGGATATTAAAAAATGGTCTGAAAGCTGTGGAAGCAGCAAACTAAGGATTTTAAAAGCTGCTAGTTATTGTATTAAGTAAAAAAGACCTGTTGCCAGTGACAACTTGGTTTTCTCTTTTCAAGTTCATGGTAGCAGTTTATGTAATCCCATTTTGAGAAAACTTGCTAGAAAACAATATTGTAAAAGTGCCAGCTCCCTGGTGGAGAAAACTGGCAAACTTTACTTGTCTTAGTTTTGTAAAACCAGGGATATAAATAGTGAGTGGGCCTGTGTGGCTCTGTTTTTGTTTTGCCGGAGTTTGCAAACACACTTAGTGTCACTGACATGCCACATTTAAACAGAGTGCACTGTGTGATTAAGTTAGTTTAATTTTGTCAGCATTTGGCATTTGCTGATGCAGAAGGAAATCTTGTTCTCTGCTGTGTCTACATGTGGATGAAAGGAATAAAATATTTACTGTACAGAGCTGAGAGAGCAGATGCTTCTTTACTTCAGAGACTTTTAGGGAATAGGAAGTCAGGAAGTGCTGCAATTCATTATTTTGTCTCTGGTATGAAATTTGGGTATGGAATTTATTATGTTTTCAATAAGAAAGATCTTTTTTTTTACCTGGTTGTAATGTGTTGTCTATTACTGTTGGCTTTTCTGTATTCAGCACTGTAGTACCACCTGGAAAAGAAATTATGCATATCATGACACATGGGACACAACAAAGGACACAGCAGTCATTAGGAATACCCTATATATAAATCTGAAGTATTACCATCTTTATTAGACATGTAGGTAGCCGAGTATGCGAGCTTAAGCATGAAAATATGACATTAAAGATCTGGTTTCCTTTATCAAAAAAGAAAACAAGAACTCACCATTAAATAAAGCTGTATATCTTTGGAGTCCTTGCAAACACCAAGTAATCAATCCTCACCATGTCCCTGTGACCATCCCTGTTTTATAGACAGTGATTTGCTCCAAATCACATGGGAAGTCAGTGACTGATCTCTATAGCATCTAATAGTCACCAGTTTGCGCATTCACCCATGGCATGTTGTTTCTCATATCAGGACCATGAGTTCCTCTAGCCCCTGCCATGCTGGGTCCTCCCTGTGTGTTGTTTCATAGCTGTGTTGTGAGATCAGCTCACAAGAGAGGTGCATGGGAATTGCCTGACTTGAGGTTATGGTCTAAGGCAGGTTTCACTTCTGTCTCAAAGAGCAGGAGGAATTAAGGACTTCCTCTTTGTCATCTTCTTCAAGCAGATGAACAAGAGGTGAGTGGGGTCATGGCCCTCTCCTAAGCTCACTAATTGGTATTTTTAAAATACTTGACTTTTTAAAGCAAGCCTCATATTGATAAAGGAAACAAAAAGTAAATTAGCACAATTATAAATGCACAGTGGGGTGCTGATTACCAGTCAATGGCTTTTCTTTTCTCCAGCAAGCAAGTGCTTAAAGCATTATAGAAAGGATGACTATGATGACTTCCAACGAGAATGAACGCCCAAGCTATATCAGCTTTATGTTTGTGAGAATGATCTGATGGGAAATGCTATAAGCCACACAAATAGAGTAGCTCTGTATGGGGTCCAAATAGAGCAGGAAGGAATCTGGCCTACAGCACAATTACAGTTAATTGCAAGGGAGGCTTCATTGTGATACTCACATATGTGCAAGTGCTATCAGGGAAGTGACTCTAACTGTCGTGCCCATGAGAATGTGGGTGCCACACTCACATCGGGAGTGGATAAAAGAGAGTAAGACACTGATGACATCCCCTCTGCACTGCCCTGCTATCCTTAATGGGCCACAACAAGATTTACGTACTTTCCTTCAACACATTTTGGAGGAAGAAAAGAATGCTTACAATGAAGTTATCGGTAAAATCGCTTCCGTGCATTTTAGTGTTATGTGTAACATCATATGCACAATGCAGTGTCCAGAACAACTGGGCATGCACTGCTCAGGAATTCTAGGTGGTATAGTAATAAATTATACTGAAGCGCCTGCACTTTTGCAGAAGGGCAATGAAGTAATTTTCAATTTGAGTACTGAAATAGGTTACATCCCCAAAAGAGCTGGTGCTCAGGAAGCCTGGTGACTGTTCCCTTGTTTTAGAGATTATAAACTGCTCCCTAAGCACAACCTGCAAAAATTGCCTGAGGGAGTTTCTTCTGCTCAATAAGCTTTCCCTAAGGGACATGTGGGGTGCAGTCCTAAGCTCCCTGAAGTGCAGAGACTATGAGTGAACAGGGAAGGTGCTTGCATAGATCTGCCTCCTTCCTCTCACACAGCTTCCATCTATGTGAAATATGTCTCTACCTATTGGGCTTTGCAAGCCAGCCCTCAGTGTAGGGCTTTGCAGGAAGGCCCAGCGTTTCCTGACCTGGCTCTTTCCTTTCAGAAAAATAAATAAGTAAATTACAATGTTCAGTAACATTGAAAGCTTTCCGAGCTACCTTAACATAATACAGACTATTTTATCAGACTCCCTGCATGGCTGTTTTCAAAAAGAATAAGATTCATCTGGGACACTAATTTGAAAAGCAGTGACAGTGACTGTGCGGTGTCTTTTCCACTCAAGAATTGTTTTTCAATTTATGATTTGCAACATGCACTTACAGGAGATACTGGCAAAGCTCAGAAAGGGTTTGATGCTGAGACTGCACTTTCATTTGTATCTGCTGTCGGATGTTCTACTTGGCTGCTTCCAAAAAGCCAATGTCTTACCTAAGGTTTCTGAATGTCCTCTTGGACAGCTATTGCCAGATTTTAATGCTTTTTTATATCATGGATATAAGAAGCAATAAACATTTATTAGATAAGCACACCAGGGAGCAGTGATGAAATAACTTGTGTTGCTGTGTCCAAAAATAATCTCAATTACTGTAGATGTATACATCTGCTACAGGAAGATCTCATCAAACAGGCCCAGAGCTTTGTGGAGCAAGTGACCTCCAAGAAGAGATCAAAAACATAGTAGTGCAATGTCAGCTCTCTCAGAAGGACAGTGGTTCTGTGCAAAATGGGGAGAATATGAAAACTAGCAAGCTTCCTCCATTCCAGATGCAGACTACGTTATGTCTCTCCCTCCTATTTTTCTGCTAGCGATGGCAGCTTGGAGAACATCAGCCCCTCTGTGGCTGTAATGCAGTGTTGGTGGGGAAGCTCATGGAAATATTTCTGGCAGTATATGTGTGAGCATGCTTTGATGAAACAAATCTTTGTTTCTGTCTGGGAAAGGTTTGGGGCTGAGATTTGAGCCCTATACTAAATTTTAGGTATGGAAGTGTATACATATTTTGAACCTAAACAACATTTCATTTTGAGTTCTTCAATCTCAGACAATAAACCTCAAAGGTTTGTCCAGCTTTTTTCTTAATTAGAGAAAGTTTGATTAGGACATTTGATTAGACACAATTCCTGCTAAAAAAAAAATTGCCCTCTCTTCCAGCTAGTCACTATTATTTGCTTCAAAAATTACATAGCTGAGAAAACAATCAAAAGTATTGTCATATGTAAAAGGCAGATGCCTATGTTTTGACAGCACTGACAATATGAACTGCATACCAATGTCCATTTATGTTGAGTGATTAAATCAGTGCAAACGTTTAGCTGGTAACTGGTGATGGATATGAGCTACAAATGAAGCTGCAATGGAATGAGGATGGTTTCTGCACCTGTCAGTTGGTAGTCATCACCTGTGCCACTGTGACAGTTTGCCTGGTCATCATCACACTCGTCCACAGGTTTGCCTTCAGAAACGGTAGGGACAGCCGTAGGAGCTGAAACAAAATCCAGTCGTTCAGTTAAAACATGTGCTGGAGAATCGGCATGCAACTGGCAGTAACATTTTGATAAGCACCATACGCTGTCTTTATGTGTTTTATCTGAGGAAAAGAGCAACTCTACTTTGCAGGTTAGTTAGTATTTCTTTGCAATGGGACGTATCTGTTCTGCCTCCTTGTGCCAAGGCACTCTGTTGTATCTGAGCTAAAGGGCTGAGCGGAGTTGGGTAGCAAAGCCCCGGACTGTCTATTCACTGGCTGATGAGTGTTTGTTGTTCCTACCAACAAAGAGTGAAAGCCTGGCAAGGCAGAACAGAAGGCTTGGGGAGGGGTAGAAAACCCATCATTTTATTGCAGGCCAAAGTGCCTGTGAGTGGGCCTGTATAGAGGAGCAGGAGCGGTGCGTGCCCAAGGTGGTAATTCTCCAGCCCCCACCACATTGCTGAAGAAACCTTTCTGCAGAACACATGTAAGAGAGGAAATGTCTGAACAGAGTCCTGGTAACAGGGGCAGGAAAGGCAGTGTGATGTAGAATCACTTTGTGCTCAATAAGGAGATCTGGAAGGAGTTTCTTTTGTTTTTGTTGAAGCTATAAATAAGACATCAGTGATGTCAGTCACACCTCCTGGCCACCTGCTTGCTTCTCATTGGTGATGACTTTCCGGTAGCTGCTGCATAACCAATAAAAGTCTGACCTTTGTTATTACAGTTAAAAGCTTGAGATTTGTGCAAGATGCCAGAAAATGTATCTATACCCCAGTATCTGCAAAACATAACACATCTGGAAAATCAGAATGCAGATACTTGGTGTTATGTTTAGGTTTATGTTTTATGCTGCAAGTATAGTTCCCTGGCTTAAGATAAGCAGACTGGGAATGTGACCCAGGTTTTTGTCTGTTCTCACCTACTGTTATTTTCATTAACAATGTTTTACTCTCATTATAAGCTATGCAATAATGCATCCCTTTCTTGGATTCTTCTTTGCCCTTCTCCTGCCTCCAGAGCCTGCTGGCCACATAAGATCTTATGCACTGACTTCTTGGCCTGAAAATGTCAGGACGGATGGTAGTTTCTGAAGTAGCTGTATTCTGGGATGAAACATGGCTCTTTAGGACCCTGACCTATGCTTTACAGGTAAAATCTAGCCCTAGTTAAAGAAACAGTTCTGTATCTATTATGAATTATGCAGAGTGTCTGTTCCCCACATCTCTTTAAAAACCCCTCTGGGAGCTCCCTCTGGCTTTCTACATCGAGTTAAGTTTCTTATCTTGATCTTCATGCCCCTGTATAGCCTCAAGCTTGCCTACATCTCTGCCATCATTTCATAGAAGTCCCCTGGGATGCTTTGAGCACACAAAGCTTCCCCTTGCTCATTACTGCTGGAGAGCTGATTTCTACTCCTGTCTGTACCTATCTCCATGCTTCTTTTCCCATCTCAACTCCTTTCCTTCTCAGTAAAGCTCAAGTGACTTCTCTTCATTCATCTCCCTCCTTAAGATAGAGTTATACAACAAAGTTTTCTTATAATGCTTCTCCCATGGGTAAATGGGAATTGACCTCACCAGTCCACGGGTGATCTACAGGTAAGCACCATTCAGAAGTACACCATAGCAGAAAGACAAATGCAAGTAGATGTTTCCCAGGGAAAAATCGTACTTGCTGCTGCAGTTTGCCTAAAAGCAAAAGCATTTTGCCTGGTCAGTCTCCTCTTTGGCTCCTTCATCACACTGAGTACTGTGTTCTTGAAACATGGACTCACTTGGTGTCTAGGTGGCTACAGGAGCCCTGTGGCTGAAGGACTTTGCCCACAGGTTGTGAGTTTACATGAGGCAGGTGCTGGGTTTTCTTTTTTCTGAGCAAGTAGCACAATAGTCTGCAGGAACTAAGTATTCCCACAGGAAATGAAGACTTCCTGCAGGAACTAAGAAGTATTTCCAACCTCCCCACTTTCCGGGCCAAGTGAAAAGCACACTTATTCAATCTGGCCTTCACTAAAAAAAACCAACACAGAACTCATTGGTTCTCACAGCAAATGCTTCTCACTCTTCCGCCTTGGGGGAGAAATGGTGAGAAAGAAATGGAGGCAGAGAAGTCGGTTCCATTCATCTTGGGAGCCTGTTCAGCTACTTCTGTATGAGGTATCATATGAAACCCTGAATAACATGGTTTGTTATTCTGTGTATTGTTAAGCTGTCTGGTTTACAAGCCATGCCACTATGCCATCATCCATCACATAAAATTGTGAAATTCACATAGTGTTATCTGTAGTTATCTATGAAGTTAAATAATTATTGTTTATATAACAAGAATCAAGCTTGACTTCATGTCACAGTCCAAGGATAACTGTCTAAACTTTGTTTTTCCTGGTCTTTCATCTCCTATGTTGCAAAATTAAAGCTTGGAAAGGAACAAAGAGGCCCTCTCTGCCCCTCTAAAGGAACAGTTCAGAGCCTGTCCAGCCAAGTAATCATTGCCCACCATAGTGTCTGGTGTGACTTTCACGTCCTTTGAAGCAGCAAGGGACATAATTGCTATATTTAGTGCAAAGCCTCCTCTGCATTCACAGAAAACATCTCTTCCAGTGTTGTATCATGGTAACGTAAAATATAAGTTCCTGTCTTTATTCTCTCCTAATAGCTCTATGCTTCTCGAAAGTATAATCATGAGGCTGCTTAAGGGAACAGAAAACCATGTGGAGAACATCACTGTGATTCAACAAAGGAATAGGAGAAAGAATAATATTTGTGCCTTGGGCATATTCAAATGTCTGCAGACAAGGAACTGATTAGCCCAAGAAACAGCACTAATGGCAGTCACGGAAGCGAGAGTCCGATGTGCTGCCTGTACAGACACAGCAGTGTTCAGCAGTAGTCCAAGTGGAGAATGTATTTATGAAAATAATAAAGTTCATTCATCTCTAGCAGAGCAATTACCTTCAAGTTCACAGCCCAGCAGCTCCATTCGCAGCCCCAGTCCTCCGTGTGTGGCTCTCTCAGGGTAGACACGGATGAATCTCGTCGATACAGGTTCAAAAGTCCGCAGTTCAGGCGTGTCATAGTTGGTGTTGCCTTCAAAAGTCTGCAAAGCATGACAAATGCTACTTGTTAAAAAAAAAAAAGCTATTTTCAACACTCATCTTTTTCCCTTCATCTCTAGTCTTTGAATTAGGTGAGCAGTAGGCCAGATTCTAACCGCTTAATAAGTGTCAGGCATTCCTATCCTAAATGAAAATGGAAAATACGTAGTTAAAGCTCCTTGGAAAAGTAATGCATTTCATTTTTCATAAACTCAGTAGCAACCAATCCATCAGGGTCATAACAAAAGCTGAGTGTTTAATGAGACATGTTTTTAAATGAAGCTCTGATCTGGGGTTTAACTGGGTGACATTTTCAACACTTCTCAGGGAAAAAAAATGGCTGAGGTGAAGATCCTGTCACCTTTTAAGTGGTTACAATAATAATCCAACTATTCAAGAGAAAATTTCAATCTGATTTCCCCCAGTGACAGGGTTTCACAAGTTGTAGTTGTTTCAAAAGGCATAAATTAAACTCCAGGAACAGTAGCTGCAAGAGTTCTTCCAGTGAGCCTGCTATTGAATAAGAATAAAAAGAAAGAAAGAAAGAAGAAAGCTGCTTCCTGACAAAACTGCAATATAATCTAGCGGGCAAGGCAGGTCAGCAAATGTACATTTCAGACAAAAATCTCTTCTCTGAGTTGCACTCTGGGTTCTTCAGCCATAATGCAGCTCTCAATGGCATTTGTTTGATACCTTCAGCTTCTCTTTTCAGTGATCTATGGCACGTAGAACAAGTTTTAATTTGTACTTATAGCAACACCTCGGGTGCCTCTGTGGAGGTGACTGGTCCTTAGAATGAATTAAATGTACAAAGAAGTAGTCCTTGCCATGAAGATTTTATAAGCCAAGATAGGCAAAAGGAGTTATTTTTACGCTATTTTATGGTAAAAACGACTTTGGAATATCATGTAGAGAATACTCTAACATGCAAAATAAGAAAATGTATATAACAATGAAGTAAAAATATTTTCACCTTTTCTTGAATTAGTTAAATTAGCATATGAATTAGTTAAATGGCAAAACACTAAAATACATCTTCTTTGAACTGGAGTTCAAATTTGGGATTAGAAACGCTATTTATAAGATAGTTCCAACTCATAGCTGCGAAGCCTGAAGCCTTCTTCAGGAAGAAACCACCAGATGTCCTTCATTTTGGATGAGAACAAAACCCAACCTGCAATGAACTACTCCTGTTGATCTGGGGGCCGATAAAACAGAGGCCATGGGAAAAGCTAGCTGTATTTCCCAAAGCACAAAACCAGCATAGGTAAAACTGACTGTTGTTTGTATTTTCAGTGCAGTCCTAAAAGCCTTGCTTGCTTCTACTTTACACCTCTGTATGGTGAACCAATGGTCCACAAACCCTTCTGGCCATTGGTTAGAGTGCCAGTCACAAAAGCCAATAGAATCATAGAATCATAGAATGCTTTGGGTTGGAAGGGACCTTTAGAGGTCATCTAGCCCAACCCCCCTGCAGTGAGCAGGGACAGCTTTAACCAGATCAGGGTGCTCAGAGCCCCGTCCAACCTCACCTTGAATGTTTCTAGGGATGAGGCCTCCACTACCTCTCTGGGCAACCTGTTCCAGTGCTTCACCACCCGCATTGTAAAAAATTTCTTCTTTATGTCTAGTCTAAATCTATTCTTCTTTAGTTTAAATCCATTATTCCTTGTCCTGTCACAACAGGCCTTGCTAAAAAGATTGTCCCCATCCTTCCTATAGGCCCCCTTTGCGTACTGAAAGGCCGCAATAAGGTCTCCCCGCAGCCTTCTCTTCTCCAGGCTGAACAACCCCAACTCTCTCAGCCTGGCCTCGTAGGAGAGGTGCTCCAGCCCTCGGATCATTTTTGTGGCCCTCCTCTGGACCTGCTCCAACAGGTCCATGTCATATTGTGATAATAATGGGAGACTATGACCAACTAAATTAAAAAAATAATTTCAACATTAATGCTTCTGCTTCTGTTTCCTAGGGGAATTGTACCTCCAAGGTGGCTTCAAGGGGCAGTGGTTGACCTGGTGTTCTGCCAGTGCTTTGAAGACAGTTGTCAAGAATTCATATGTAGGTAGTCTGTCTGATCTAATTAACATGCAATGACATATTATTCTATTTGAATAGCAATATAGTGCAAATGATCAGAAAAGCTACCTACCACGTAAGGAAGAATGAATGCCATTTTATGTGTAAAAAGTAGACAGACACATGTATCTAAGGAATCCTTGCTTCCTTTTTAATAGTAGTCTTAATAGCAACATATAATAATGAAAACTGTTTTATAAAAGACATCAGTACTGGAGTACTGACACATAGACATTAGAATTCAATAGGCATCTAGAATTATATTGAATCATAATTATATTGAATCATTGTCCTTTGTAGCGCAGAGCTGCCTGTGATTCAATTTTGACTGTTCATTTAAAACACGTACTGATATTCTTTGTGGGAGAAGAGAGAGGAGTACATGGTAAAACTTCACTTTGTGAGTGTCTTTTATGCAGGCTATGTCACAAATTGCTTTACTTTGTTACAAAGATAAGTTATAATAAATAATAGCTAAACAAAAGAGAAGCCAAACCAGTGAGCGGAAAAAAATCTTCCTATTATCTTTTAAAATAAAAATAAACATGGCAGAAAAATTTAAAAAGGTTGGTCCAAGTGGCAGAATAGTCAGAAGTTTCTTGGACCAGCAATGATGAGAGGCGGTGTAAAAAAACACCAAAAAAGTCATCAGTAGGTAAGTGGAAGGAGGAAAGAAGTATGAAGGAGAAAGATGACATTATGGAGTAAGCTTGAGTAAGACTATGGAGAAGAAATACAAATTGTATCTTGAAAGGAAAATAGGGTTCTGCATGGTTGTTTGAGGATTTGAGTGATGTTCACTCTTTTGAGTGCTTGAGCTAGGCTAAACGGGGAAACTTTCTGCACATTCAAAAATAGCAGAAATTGGGTCAGCCACAGAGGAAGGAGTTATAGTAGCCTTAGTGAAAGGAGCTGCAGGCATGGATGACAAGATCATGTTGAGAAACAAGGTGGTGTTTCATCCTTTAGACATATTCTGTTGTTATGTTTAGCTTGTCATTGCTCTTTCTATTCCTAAAATGCAGTTGTTTGTTTATTGAAAGGCAAAACTTTAACCAAGTGAAACGATGTGTTTCATTTCATGTAACAGGGCTGTTTCTA